GGGGGGGGGGTACGTTTGAGAGTCCGGCAATTTGGAATCGAGTCCGAAAAATTACGGAAAACTCGAGTAATCGAATTTTGAGCAAAGGCTCTGTGTATAGTTTGTATCACGACGCGGTGGAATCAGGTTCTCTTCAATTTTTTGGGCTTGTACAGTTATTGATATCGTCTTGAATCTTGTTTGTTCATTCGTCTTGCTTAGGATGAAAAAATATCCATTTATCTTGAATAAAAGTCGAGATATTTGAGAATGAAGGAGGTGGAGGACACCTGGCTTCAGGGGTAAAATTAGTGAGGAAATGGCGACCAAAGAAGAGTTATTTCCTTAGCTTGAGAGTCCGTGGAAACTGAAAATTTACATTATTTGTGCCTTTAAATCAACGTTTTTCAGTTTTAAAAAATCTACACAGAAAAGTGTTCTTTAATGGGCATAATAGGTGTTGAGCCAAGAAACTTTGATTATTTTGACAAGCGCCTGATTTCACCACGCGGCCTCACATTTAAATCAGTGGCGGGGCGTCATTGGTGCAATTGGCACAAGCGCTCCACCTAACCCTGGCCGTCACCCCTCCCTCCCCTCCCCCTTCCTAATTGTTCTAAACCAGTCAGTGCTCCAGATCTACATTACCACATCCTTGCGATCCGTCACCCGCTGGCTGCGCCAGTGAAGAGACAGACGGAGAGGATGGTTTATGCTCGCCGCACCGTTTGCGGTAGTGTCTGCTGGGAGCAAGCAAAATCTTTGCACCAAAGTTATTTTTGTCACTGTATAGAAATCTAGGCATCGTTCTTCTTGCACAAGAAGAAAGGTGCGTGAAACTCCTCTTCGCAGCACCAATTTGGTGCAAGCAAAAACTTTGATCCAAGTTTCCCCGAGCCTATCTGCTACACTAGATCTAGAAACTAGTAGTCTACGGTAACTCAATGAAGAATGGGTATCGAAACTTTGTCTCCCTCTATTGCGTACCAAGTCCTGGTACTGCAATAAGTAATTAGAAATCTTTGAATCTTCTCAGATTGTGAGCATAGTGAGTTGTTAGTATTGTTTCACTTTATTGCAGCTTTTATGCGGTTTCATCTAGAAACAGTTGTAAATATTGATAGATGTAGATTACAGGATATCCTGCAGGTTCTAATTGACTTTCTCTAGAAATCTTAATAGTAGCTACTAAGCCTATTGCCCATTTGCTCATTTTCCAATTATGCACCACCTTTTCTGCAACCCACGCTAGAACTTAATTTTAACCATCAATTGATAATAAGAATAACACAGAAGCAGAAAATATGCTTAATGAATATTTTTTAAATACCCGCATTGTTTTATTATTATAATAGACAACTTTTGTATAGTGCACATTCCCTCTTAACAGCAAACTCTATTCGCTTTACAATCTATATCATTACCCCAGCACACCCCATAGCATTCTGAAACAATCTCAACTTCCTGGAAAGCATACACGTACAATACAATATGTCATTTTTATAGGCGCTTAAAGACATAGATCTAGATCTATATTCTGACAAGATCTTTTACACCTGGGTGAAGTGAAGAAAATTTTCCACGCAAAAAAAGAAGAAGATGAAAAATGAATATATATGATGCAGTAAAAACAAAAACGATGAAAATTATAAACATTCTTGTTTATACTATTCGGAGATTTTGGACTCGAACGAGCACTCAAGTATTTAAACTACCGAAACGAATACTCGCAGAGTCTAATCTAGACAAAGTGCGTCACTTTAGCAGCCAGCCGGCCTTTTGTGTCTGTGACAGGGCGCGGCCGGGGGGG